TACCTTTTAGACCTATTGTATTGGTACTGAATGCTGATTCAAATGCCTAGCCAGAGTGGAAGGTCCCAGGCTGAGGTCAAGAGAGTAGAAATAGGCATGGTATGCAAGCCTATGTGCTGGACTTTAATTTACTCATCCCAAGCTACCCACGGGAGTAGTGCCTACCCAACATGTATGAGAGATAGGGATCTATCCTTCTAGCCTCTGACCATTGCTCTTTCAATATAATGGTAAAGCCTTGACTTTATGTACCTATTGATACTGAGGTGCTATTGTAAATATGCCCTGGACACACCACTGAAAATAAAAGGTAGCACTTTGCCCCCTTGTATGTATTTAGCAAATCTATCAGTATCCCACTCAGTTTAGATCCCGAAAAGAATCACAAGCTGTATTATCTGACTATCTGTCACAGGTAGACAAAAAGCATAAACGTTCCCCTCCCTTTAAATGCTCCTCTTTGTCTTGTGTTGGAGTGTACATTAACAAGGTCTTTTAAAAAGTCTGAGCAAAGCAGCTCCTCCTGAACAAGGCTGTCCTTACCCTTCCCCAATCCCTACGCAGATGGCATTATTCTGCTATCAACACCAAAATGTACAGAGGTAATGTGTGAGAAGGCATGGGATAAGGAGTTGCCATTAAAGGCTTTTGTTACCACATCATCTACTTTTCCCAAACAGCAGTGATTGGTAGTTTAAAACATATTACTTAATTTGGTCGTATTTCCCCCGCTGTTCAAGTATCTTAGAATATGCTTTCATTTTCTTAGTGGCCATTCCACTGTCATTTCAGTATACGTAATGCCTATACACATTGTCCACAAAATGTATGTTGGAGGAGAGAAGAAAAACACAGAATACTTTATGGGATTGCAGGATATGATCTCATGAGTAGAAAAGGGCTGTCTGAAGTCAGCTGTGGTGCAACTGCCAATCATAGGTTCAGTTATCATGGTGGTTTCAGATGATGTGGTAACAAAAGCAGTTCTTTCCCTGTTATGCTCTCAGTTACTTTCAGCAGCCAATTTGTCACAATTTTTTTTTCATATTGTGATGGAATTTCACTGGTGTAAATGGCCTTCACATTAATATTCTGATTGATCGTTCCTATTCATTGCAACTTCCTACCCTTTAACCTCTTCATATGGCAAGTTGACTTTAAAAAGGTACTGACTGTAACACTATTAAGTGCCATTTGAATTTGAGAGGAAGAGCATGGAGTTTCTAGGCAGTTAACTAAAACATGAGTGCAGCCATTTACTTAATGTATACTCCAATTTTCTCCCAATGGGGACCCAACATGACTTAGATTGTTCACTGTTTTGTCCTCACAAGAACCCTATGGGGAAAGTTAGGCCACAACTGTAGGGTTGCCAGCCTCCAGGTGGGGCCTGGAGGTCTCCCGCTTTTACAATTGAACTCCAGCTGACAGAGATCAGCTCCGCAGGAGAAAATGGCTGCTTTGAAGGGTGGACTCTATGGCACTGTACCACGCTGAGGTCCTGTAGTATGAGTGGGAATATAAAGATTTTTATATATAGGTTTTTTCTTCTTGACTGTTCATGTTCATATTTCTCTGGTTTTTATCGATTTATTTTTTAAAGTAATATTTTATTAAGATGTTAGAAAGGCCTGTTATATAGAAGGCTTTCCTCTTGTAGGTCTGATATTGTTAGCAGACAACATAATAGGTACAAAGTTCATGATTCTGTAGTTCTTAGGGCAAACCTTTCAATGTCTGGGTCAGATAAGATTTTAGTCTGATATGAACAATCCTTGCCCATTATTAATTAGGTTAGGTTAAGTAAACACTTACTTTGACGTAGATATATGTTTCTTTATATCTGGCCAATCAGAGGATTATTACTCAAATTACCACTGTCTTTTGTAACCGATTATGCTGTTTGAATATTGTTTTCTTGATGATGTCAGTCCATGTATAAAATATCATGTATTTCCTGAACATGTTCAGAATATGCTCAAGAAGAAGATGAAGAAGAAAAAGAAGAAAGTTGTCAATTTTTGGTTAACTATTTGGTCTAATTGTTTTCCTATTAATTGAGGCATTTTTCCTGATTATGTTGAGAAGAAAGCAATCAGTTTTGATGGGTCCTTTGGCCTAACTGTTTTCCGTATTTCATTACAATAAAATACAAGAACTTCCTCCTCATTTGACTTCATTTTTGACATGGAATCTAATATGTACAACAGTCCCTCCTCTCCCCAAACCCCACCTTCTCCTGGATCCACCCCCAAAGTCTCCAGGTATTTTCCAACCCAGACCTGGCAACCCTATGCAAGTGTGTGTCTGGCTGGCCCAAGGTCACCCACCAAGCTTCCTTGGCAGACTGGGGATTTGAACCTGGGTCTCCTAGATCCTAGTCTTTTGTAGAGTTGGATACAGGATTAGCAGATTTGTAGTTTAATAATACTGTCAGGTTGGGAGAACAGTAATATAGTGCCATGACCCAACAGCTCAAACTGGTTCATATTTGTTAAAAAATACACTGCAGAGGCATACCTCCGCTGTCACTGGGGAATAACAGGAGAGGCCAGAGTCATGGCAAAATCCAGGAGGCAGATTATTTCAATGGCACAATATCCACTGACTGACATGTGGATCCTCTGTTATAATTCCATATGCAGCTAATTCCAGAATAGCATTGACTAGCTTGTACAGAACAGCCCTATTTCTGGTACGGACCAATATTTGTAATTTATTTATTTGTTTGTTTACATTTGTACCCCGTCCTCCCTGCCATGTTTTGTGCAACATTGGGGTAGGAAAGAATCATTAAGTATGACATTGGCTTACTTGTTTAGAAAGTCTTGTCACAGCTATGCAACTGATCTACACACTTCACCCAGTGAGTTACCAAACAGCAGGTCAGAAGATCATGTACGTTTTGTGCCTAGGTCATCAGTAGTAGAAATCAGAGGTAGAGAACACACAACAGAGGTTTTTCACTTCCTGATCATTTGGGAAGTATTTCTTCTAAGGATTTCAAAGGGATGCCTCTCTGTCACAAGACAACCCATTCTCTGTGGCAATGCAGTACCTTGTGTGGCTTGAGACATCCCCCATCATGCCCCAAACCAGTGATCAGCTCCTCAGCCCTACAGGCAGTCTTGGGCAGAAAGCACAGGTGTGCCACCTACAGATTGATCGGGAAAATACATCGGATACATGTGGTGGTATAACTGATGTTTCTCCAAGACAGCAACTGTCTGAGGGGATGAGCAGCAATGGTTCAAGCTGTTCATGGACTCAAAAGCTGCAAACTGTTTCCTTTTGGGGCATCTTTGTCTTGCCACTAAAGCCACTGGACAATACAGCTTGTATTGTTGTTTAGAATTGTGCAGGATGGGTCCCCAGAGAGTGCAATATGGACATGCTAATAACATCTGCTATATCCAGTTCAGCAGGATCTCTCTTCTATAAAGAGGGATAACGTTTGTGCAGAATGGCAAATGTGTTGCCTTCAGAACAACTGGATTCTATTCCCCGGTTTGCTGCCCTGGTTTGGATAGCCCAGGCTAGCCCAATCCATTAGATCTTGGAAGCTCAACAGGATTGGACCTGGTTAATATCTGGACCAGAGACCACCAAGGAAGTCCAGGGTTGCTATGCAGAAGAAAAAAATGGCAAACCATGTCTGAACATCTCATGCCTTGCCTAAGGGGTTACCCAAAGTAAGCTGTGACTTGATGGCAAAATAAATACATAAAATATCCAGGAGTCAGAATTTTGCGATTCCATGTACATGACTGGCTTACTGAACAGGACAGAACGTCTATTCCACAATGCCATATTTTGTTACATGTGAACCGTAGCCCTGTGAACGCTTACTTGCAGTAAGCAAACAAGGTGCAACATGCATAGGATCAATAATAAGTCTTCATACTAGAAATGGAGCATCGCACACTACCCAACCAAGCGGCCGCAGCCGGATTTAGGCAGCTTCTAAAAGTGTCGTTCGGTAAACCTCGTTCTCTGGTAGCTTGACTATTACGCAGGACTCTGACTTGTTCCTTCTTGGCAGCGCTACAGCCCAGCCTGAGTCACCACGCAGCAGTCCACAGAGAAGCCAAGTAGACAAGAAAGTCGATTGTGTGGGCGGAAACTTCCGGCCTCTAACCGCGGGAAAATGAGGGCACAAAGAGGTGGGGCTGAATGATGTCAGATCCTCTTGGAATGGGAGGGGGTTGCCCGGGATTAAGATGGACTTGAAGCGGTAGCTGCTGCCCAGCTGCAAGATGTCTTCCTTCTTTACATGGTTGCATGCATTGTAACATCTGGAATTCTAATACAGAAATGAAACGGATTCCGCTGTATGCATCCTAAAAGGCCTAATTGTCCAAGCTGGGATTCTGAGCGTTGCTGTTCTGGGCTGCTTTCGCTTGCACATTGAAGCGAGCACGAACATACAATTGCAAATGAAAATTAGCCATGCTGTTTTACCAAGCCACTTTTCATAGCCCAATTGTGCAACCTTGGGCAGTACTAGGAGTAAGCCTGACCGAATACAGTAGGACGGGATGTATTTCTTTGTAAAATTGCGCAGCAAGACTATAACTGAACTTCAGTTTGTGCCCTTCAGAGTCTGTTAACGAACTATCAGATGAATTATGACAACATTATACCTTGTCAGATACTGAAAAGTACCCAAAGGATTTTTCTCCTTAGTTTATCAATTGCTAGAGTAAACAAATACATAACACTGCAGCAGTATATCACCACTGAAAGAAGGAGATCACCCCCAGACGTTCTACCACTACACGCCCCGTGTTCCTCTACTCCCAAATGATTTATTTGTACTGCGCACCCTTTTACTGCAGGAGAAACCACAAAGCCCATAATACAGTTAAGGAATACAGTTCCCGTCACGCTTCGCGCGACGTAAACGTCATTTCCTTCGGTACTCGTTGCGTTGCTTCCTGGGAAATGTAGTTCTGCAGTGCCGGCCGGGATTCTGGAGCTATTTGCTAGGTGGTGCCAAAATGGCGGCGCTGTGGGGCGGCGGCGCGGGACATGCCGGGGCTGGAGGAACCGTCTTGCTGCGAGGGGGCGCGGAACCCGCCGTGGGAAATGCTTTCCCTTCCACGCAGGTATCGGTCTGGCTGAGTCCTCTGAAGCGAGGCAGGGAGATTCCAGCCGCTGGGCCGGCCGCCGAGCACTGGGTGGACACGTGGAAGCGGCGTGGCCGGCGCCGGGAGGTGGCACTGGCCAGCGCGGCTGGGAAAAGCAGGCTTGTGGCTGCCCCGGGACTCGGCCAGTGGGAGGAATAAGTGGCACCAAAGATGGGCATGTATGGGAACAGTTCAAAGGCGTGAGGGCATGAATGGAAGTTCTCTCGTTGGTGCAAGCCATGCTGTGAGGCTTTGGGGTGTTGGGGGGCAGTTGGCAATGGTAGACTGAACGCAGTACGGCAGGCGCTCATCGAGCGACGCAGTTGGAGTGTTAGAAACAGAGCTGTAGGGTTGGGCTTGGGAAATAGAAATATTGGTGGACAAGGAGGCTGCATTTCAGGAATCTGGGGGGTTCGAAAGTTTTTGATATCGGAGTGTTCAAGGCCTTAAGGAATGGAGGTTTTGAAGCAAAGGTTTCCAGACTTGGGCATTTACGGAAGCAATAGATTTGACACCGATTTCGGAATTAAGAATCTACCAGGTTCCGGGCTTAATTGGATTGAGAAAGGAGCTAGTATTACTTCGTTGGGATCACTAGATTTAGTCGAGGGAGGAGTGTGGGTCCACTCTCATCCTTAATCCATATTGCTTTCCTTGGAGTGTGAGATACTTACCCTGACCTCTTCCTGTTTTATTTCCTAGGTCTGGAACACTTCTTAGTGTTATGGGAGTACCTATATGCTGTATGTATTCTCTCTTTGCCCATGTGGGTATGCAAGAGGGTTGACTTATCCCAGTCGGAATAGAAAGGCTTTGATTCTTGAAGTAGACTCTGTAGTCTGTTCTTTCCTGTAAAAGTGGGCCCTGATACATTTGCACGCCTCAGCTCCACCCTTTCTCCACCCTGTACCCTATTTCTGGGTGTGTTTGTGTCCTCCCGTTCGCTGATCCTGTTGAGGCCCATATGATGGTGCTTGTTTCTGCTCTTTTGAGAGAAGTTTTCATGTGTGTATGATTTATTCCCGCTTGTTTGACTCTGATTCTACCACCGCCTCTGACCCTCTTCCCTGGATTTATGAACTCGCTGCTAGGTTTTCCCTTCCAGAAAGCAGCTGAAAAGAAAAACCATTTATGGGAGCCCAGAGTGTATGCCTGTGTTGGGAATGATAAATAACTGTAATGTGCATTCTGGCTGCTTTGCAGTCTGTTCCCTAGAAGAGCCTGTCTGGACTCGGGACTGTAGCTGGAATTCTCCTCTGTTTAGGCTCTGTCCAATCACACCGTGAGATAAATGTTCCAAGTGTGCAGCTGCTTCAGACTGCACTGCACATAGGGTTGCCAGCTCTGGGCTGAGAAATACCTGGAGAATTTGGGGGTGGAGCCTGGAGAGGGCAGGGTTTGGGGTGGGAGGGTCCTCAGGGTATAATGTCATAGAATCCACCCTCTAAAGCAGCCATTTTCTCCAGAGAAACTGATCTTGCTTGCTTGGAGATCAAGTGTAATAGCAGGAGATCTCCAGGTGCTACCTGGAGGTTGGCAACTCTAGCTGCACAGCAGCCATGCAAAAGAAACAACTTGTTTGATCCCTCTGTGCAAGAAGGGGTAAAGGCAAGGCAGCTAACAACATTTGCATTGCTAAATTATCACTGTGCTGAAGCCTTGATTAATTTTGGGTGGGGAGGGGTGGGAAAGCCTGCCCATTTCCTTACCATAACAATTAGTTGGTGAAGCTGAGTTGTTAGAAAGGAGTATGTTTGCTTTGTCTTATGTAACAAAGACCTTTCTGGCCAAAGAGTTTGGGCTTGTTTTAGTTTGCCTGTGGTGAGTGCTCCCCTTTGTGTTGCATCCTACTGCAAAATGGAAGTCTATAGATTCTTAATGCTAATTTCTTCTCCCTTATACCCTCTCACTTCTGCTGGGTGCGGCAGAAAGGAAAGAGAAGGTGTGGTGCAGAAGGTAATGAAATAGACCTGATAAACAATATAGTGCAGGGAGGGAGAGCAACCCACTAGAGGGAGTGAAATGAATTTGCAGTGTCAGAGTTTAGACTTCACATCACAACAGGTAGGAATCATTACAGTGGACTTGGGATCTGTGGACCGTTGGCCCTGAGTGCTCCATTGGAATGCTGTTACAATCTCTTACGCCCACTGAAATTTTAAGTACAACAGGAGTCCAGTGGCAACTTATAAAAATAAAAGACTTATGACAGTTTATCCTGGAATAAAATTTTAAACTGTTTAGGGTGCCACTTGACTTTCATTTTATTTTGCTGCTACAGACTGATATGGCTATCCATCTGAATTGTTAAGCACCCTTGGGTTTCATGTTTGCCTTTATAAGTCTACTCACTTCCATTTTATTCCGTAAAAGATAAAACCACAGCTCTTTTTGCAATGGTTTACATTAGTTTATCCCAGTTTAAATGAAGTACTGCATGTTTCAGGGATATTATATTGGTGTACCGCTTGTGGACTGGGCTATGTTGCCCCTTGGAAGAAAACAAATGTGGAAATATCTGTGATTATCCACCATCAGAGACTGGAGGACATGAGGAAGTGATTCAGAGTTTGTGGGCCACCTCAAGTCACTGCTTTTCCAGGGTGGTCATATGGGCAACCCAACTTTTGCGTATAGCAGTTCTGGGATCAGGGACTTGATGGCTAACCATACATAAGCCTTGTCATCTGGTCAAACCTTCACTATGCAGTCTGTACATCAACTGGTGATTATTTCTCTTGGAAGACTGGGCATTTAGCCAATTTGCATGAGCTGACCATCCCATGTGATTGGTCTGACAAGTGCAAAATGTCATCTGTGCCTTGACTTTTTCCTTGGCTGTCTGCTCGCTAACCCCATGCAGGACTTATGCCACAGAACTTGTGCATACAAATCCTGTGCTGTTCCACAGCACTGTGCCTTTCTCTGTGTAGATGGCTCATTTTGACACCAGGCCAGTAGAGGAGTACGAATACTCTGTGATGTGTCTTTTTCCTGTGTGCCCAGTTGGGTGTGTATTTAGAAGGATAGTTTGTGACTTGTGGGCTCTAATTTTCCTTCTGTTTTCCTCTTGATCAGCTTCTTGCTGGGCAAAAGGTGAGCACTGGCATTGCCCACCCCTTGGTGGATTCAGTCTCCCCTATTTCTGGTTCTCACATGATTGCAACCTATTGGGGGCCTGACAGGAAAGTGTTCTGTGACTGTGCAGTTGTGGTGCTGTTGTTACTGTCCTGGTGTCTTTCTCTCCTGTGCCTTGCAAAAAGCTTCTTCTGGGGCATTCTATTCCCCTGGGTTTTGACCACTTGCTCAGAAGAGGCTGCGGCCATTAACTGGGTTTTCCTTTGCCAAGACAGCTGTGAAGGTAGTTGGCCAAACTTCCTTCCCTGTGCACCCTCCTGTCAAAAGGGAATGTGTTTGCCCAACTCCTTCCTCCGCAGAACTCCGAGCATTGCAGTCCTCTCTACAGCAGAGGATGCTGTGCTTCCTGTTTTCCTTTCCTTATTGTGATCTGGATGGAGCAGAGGCACAATGGATTACCAAGGCATGTCAGTATTGACATGCATTGGTTGGTTAATTCCATATTTGGCTAATATGGAGGCATTATTAGCCACACCTCTTGGGGTTTGGTGGATGTGAGCAGTGTCATTTTGGGATCTCGTGCACACTGTACTCTGAGCTTCTTGGTCTTTTTGCCATTCTTTTTCTGAACAGAGCATAGGACGTGGGCTAGCTATACCAATGTCTGGGGTTTAGGACTGAGTTGTTTGTGAGTCTCATTAGCTCCAAGTGTGGGTCTAGTCCCACCCAAAACGTCACAAGTAAAATTACAGAAAGGCCCAAGTTTCTCTACTTATTTATTTATGTTTGGATTTATATCCTGCCCTACCCTGAAGGCTCAGGGTGGCACAATAAAATATAGTAACAAATTTACAATACAAATTTAGCCAAGATGGGTAGATCTTAACTTCCATAATAACTTCCTGAAATCTTGTCATCCAATCCCTGCCTGGACATCTCGCTCCCCCCAGTGGGGTCCAGACAATCTTGATGGTAATACGACAGTGCATAGGAGGCGAGGGTGGAATAGTAGTGGCGGCGGCTCCTACTCAAAGGCCTGGCGGAAGAGCTCCGTCTTACAGGCCCTGCGGAACTGAGAAAGGTCCCGCAGGGCCCGGATCTCTTCCGGGAGCTCCTTCCACCAGGTAGGAGCCACCACCGAAAATGCCCTGGTTTTGGTCACCGCAAATTTAACATCTCTAGGGCCCGGAATTTCCAGGAGATGACGCCCCCCCCCCCGACCGTAGCGCCCTTGGGGGAACATATGGAGAAAGGCGGTCCCTCAGGTAGGCTGGACCCTGGCCATAAAGGGCTTTAAAGGTCAAAACCAGCACTTTGAAGCGAATCCGGTACGCTATCGGCAGCCAGTGCAGCGCTTTCAGTACAGGCTGAATGTGGTCCCTCCTTGAGAGACCCATCAACAGCCTGGCCGCAGCATTCTGCACTAGCTGCAGCTTCCGGATTTGTGACAAAGGCAGCCCCATGTAGAGAGCGTTACAGTAGTCTAGCCTTGAGGTGACCTTCGCATGGGTCACCGTGGCCAGGTCCTCACGGCTAAGGTAGGGAACCAACTGCCGAGCCAGCCGAAGATGATAAAAGGCCGCCCTGGCAGTGGCTGCCACCTGGGTCCCCATCGTTAAAGAGGAGTCCAGGTGCACCCCCAAACTCCTAACCTCTGACGCTGGTACCAAAGGCACCCCATTGAAGGTCGGGAGAGGGAGAGAGGCAGATGGCTCCCTGTTTTCTAAAAATGATATCATTTTTCCTGGATTAATTTCACTTGATTTCAAGATAATCAGACACAAAAACAGTCTTTCAGGTGCCTACTTTGCAGGGCGGGAAATGGCTTCTCAGTCACTACTGCCACTCATAATGACATTAATATATGAAATTGTGCTGTGGCAATTAAAAATGGAGAGGGCGAGGACATAACATTTTGACATTTGAAAAAGAAAGCTGCTTTCTGATTCAGTTGTCAGGTTGAACTATGTATCTTGTAGTGTAATTCTCTTTTGCTCTTCTATGTTGTTGGCACCCCCCCCTTTTAAAGCATAATACGAATATTCCAGTTGCCCTTCACAGAGCGCCATTGAAGGGAGCGATAAATCACCTACCTTCCTGTTTGCTGCTGTTGGCTGAGAATTTGATTAGTAACTGACTGAGATTTTGTAGTGATGCCCAAAGAAGAGACCCTTCTCTAGGACTCTTGAGTGTGCATTATGACCCCTATCTCCATAACTACACTTTTTGGGAAGTCAGTAATTCCCATTTTATATACGCAGCTGAGCAAGAGATTTGCTGGAGGCCACACAATGAGTCCAAGCCTGAACCCATGTCCAAGGCCAGTGCTTGGTCTCTGCTTGACCACATCTGAAACAGTTAGCTGGCTCATGTTGTTTCCAAACTTAGCCGTGGGTATTCTTCAGCAACTGAGCATCCAGCTGTGCTAAAAGTTTCATGTGGAACACGGAGAAGTGGTATTGCAGTTCTGTTTTGGTTCCTGAGTGTGGGAAAAAAATTGCAGCTGACTAGCTAGGAAACTGTCATGGAGAAATTTGGTGACTGTGGCCTAAAAACCAAAGAAGGCTCCCAGGCCTTCACTGCCAGATCCCTGTAATTAGAGCCTAGTCATGCTGCCCAAAGCCCAGTAATTTCAGCACAATGTATCTCGGTAGGGAAGCTGTTAAACATGATTTGGGTTAGGACTTGTTGCTTGACTACTTTCTAACCAGCTGGGCACATTCTTTCTCTCCCTGAAGCTGACTGTTTGTGCATCTCTGAGTCTAGCCCTGCCTTGTTGAGAGGTAGGAGTGAGGGTGGCGAAAGTCTTTGTGTCGTCTGTTTTATGGAGTTGTGACACTGACGTGGAAAGGATCAAGGGTCCCTTAAGAATAGCAGTGTGGAAATGGGCCAGAAGGCCATCTTGTCTGGCACTGTGCTGTAAGACAAAGTCACGATTCCACTCGCTTTCCACAGATGGGACACGGATGCTGGTCTCTGTGTACCTGACCGTAGTTGAGAAAACAGTTACCCATATACGGAGATCTGTATGGCATGCAGCAGGCTGAAATCCAGGATTTTTGACAGCTGGCTTGAGAGCAAAGCTGAGTGATGTAGAATAGTTGCTCAAGTACTTGGCAACATAAAGACCTAGTTGTGTTCTACACATCCTGACTCCCTGCACTGCTTCTGCAAATGGCAAATGTTTGCTGCATCAGCTTATTATATGTACGTATACGGTAGGTTGCGGCAAGGCCCTTGTTAGGAAGATGCAGTTTTGTTGGAGGACTTGAATTCTTCCTCAGGGCTTTAACTGTGAGTCAAAAGAGTGCTGTGGTAGTGCTATAAATGCGGAGCACAGAGAAACTGATAAAGGTTATACTCAATTTGGCACCCCCCCTTGGTCATCTGGGAAGAACAAGGTTCTATGAGAGCATGCAGAAGCAGTTATTGGTAAATTGCGCTACATTTAAACTACCCATGAAACAAACATGTTTGGGTTTGACTGCTCACTGCTGTTGGATGAGTTTAGGCTACAATGTGATGATATTCCTAACGTGTAAAGGCACATAAATAGAGCTTGTCATTTTTTTGCTCCTGGGATGCCTGAGACCATCTTAATTTGTGTAGCCCATCCATGGCAACTATCCTTTCTTGCGCCTTTATCCTTCAGGACCTCTTTTAGTATTCTTGGCAAAGGTCATGGATAACCATGAAATCTGGCCTTCCTATCAAATCAGTGAGCTTTGTTGGTGGAGGGAAGTCCTGCTTTTGCTAATGGAGAGGTTCCCAATCTAAATGTGTTAGTTCAGCAGCCAAAGAACATCTGCCAGGAGAGAATGGGTGGCGCCACCCAGTGATCATATACATTTGTTTGCTGCTGATTCAGAGTCAATTGCCACTGACTGTGGAATACCGCCCAATTGTTATTATTACTACGGCTTCCATTGAAGCTGCTGTGTTGAAATGGAAAGGAGATCCTTGATACCTCAAATTATTGTTTCTGTTGGAAAGCTCTCTAAGCAATATAGAAAAGCAGACTGCAAGTATCTTAAATAAATAATGAACCTGTTTCTCCAAGCTTAGCTTTTTTATATACAGCTATCTGTGGGTAAGGTCTACTTGCAGTGGCTGTTCCTGTGTGACACCTCGAGTGTGTTCTTTCTCACTCCGTCCAGTCCTTGTTTGATGGCAAACAGCTCGCTGCCCAGTCTGAGCTACTTTGGGGCTGTTGTGGGCTTGGGAGGGGAGAATGATGGGGGTGCATGGATTCCAAGAAGACGATACTGTCTAGAATGAAAAAGGACAATGACATGGGTTGGGTGATTCTTTTTGTTAGGAATGGTCTTGCAATCTGTGTGCAGTGTTAAACCCACTCAACTGCTTTTTGTGCTCCTCTGATCTGCATTATTTTGTTGTTCTTCCTCCATCTCTAGTATTTACTGGCAGAGAATTTACACTTGTCATTGGAGGCAGAAACCATTCTTGAAGCAGAGGAACGATCCTTGAAGCTCCTGGGAACGATGCAAGATTACTTAGACTCTTCTGTTATCTCCATCATTGAGGATTTTAGTGGCCTGACTGAGGTATGGATTGGAATGCTTTTTGCTTGGAGATGGATGGCTTCTGGATCCTTTTATGGGCACCTTGGCTTGGCAGTCTGCAGCAGACAGGGCCTGTGTGAAAAGCTGAGTCAGGGGTTGTTCTGCTGGAACAGAGAAATACAGTTTCTGTTCTTGGCATAAATGTGAATTAATCTACCCTGCTTCAGTTGACTTCTATTCAGTTTGCATCAACTGATAAGCAGTGAGGTATCAGGGAGCCCTGTGGGATGCAGGAGGTTGGTCCCTTAGTCATTAGATGACATACTTAAAGTTTCCTCTTCCTTTGCTCTTTGTTTTAGACAGATAATGTTGACATGTGGATTATTTTTTCCTTCAAAAATTTCTCAGCAACTTTAAAGGCCAGAAGAATAAATACATTCATTAATTGAATATCAAAATGGGGCAGAGGCCAGTGGGGCATGCCTTTGTCTCCTGCAACTTGAACTAAGGTCAATAGTAAATAAAAACCAGCTGTTCCTTAAGTAATCAGGAAGCAAAATCCATGTAACACCTTTTATTAAGGCTAGTCAAAGTAACAGAACATGGCATGGAAGCATGCTGCATGTTAGGAATATGAAACAAAGACGGATGCCCTCTGATAGTTGTGTTTTCAGTCAGTTGCTGATAGATGCCTCTCTGGATGCCAAAAAAAAAACATAAGGCTTAGAGTGAAAGAAAAACAGCAGTCCTCAGATCAACAGTACTGGAGATTGATTTTAGTTGATGCACTAAATAAAGAGTAGATATAAACCAAATTGTAATGGTATCACCTAGTGAAATTTCCAAGGTTTGTATTTCTTTATGGTCCTAATTGAAATTGTATTATGCATACATTTTTGATTGTGTTTTTATGAGTGTAACTACTTACCATCTAGCCACAATTGTATGACCTCTGAGGAAGGCCGATCCGGCCGAAACGCGTCAGGTCATTTGTTTTAGCCCTGGTTATGATTATGAATTATGTATATTGGCTGTAATTGGGCCCCTATATATGTTTTAATTTGATATTATCAATAAATACATGTACTTCTTTTTATGAATAGGGTTTAATATTGGCCCTCCTTTCCACTAAACCTTTGTTTAGTTTTGGAATTCTTTGTTAGGTTTGGTTTTTTTTCCCTTTCTTGTTCCTGCTTGTATTATGAAGTAGGCAGGATGAGACATCTGGATTGATACTTGTGCATGTGATATGAGGTGGGTTCTTTGCAGGGTGGATAAAAATAAATGATTTTTAATTAATATATATATACAGGGCTATTTTTGGGCAGGAACGCACAGGAACGGAGTTCTGGCTGGCTTCAGAGCTGGCCACACCCACTACAGCCAAACCTCTGCATGTTTGGCTACAGAGGGAAGTCCTGGAGAGCAATCCTCCCCCAGTGACTCCAAGGCAGGCGGGCCAGGGGGGCCCTGGAAAGATCAGGGAGGCATTTAAATACCTCCCCGTGCCTTCTGTGGTCAGTCCAAGGGCCGGCTTGCTCGGGCTCCCCACAGCCGTGGGGTGCCTGGGCAACCCAAGGAAAGGCATGGGGTGTGGCCTAATATGCTAATGAGTTTCTGCTGTTGGGTGTGGCCTATTATGCTAATTAGTTCCTGCTGGGCTTTTTCTACAAAAAAGCCCTGTGTGTGTGTGTGTGTATACACACACACACATATACATATATATATATATAGATATATATATAGATAGATAGATAGATAGATACACACACACACACACACACACACACATATATATAATAAATCAGATTTTTAAATTTCAATCAGGTATTTTATTTAAATCGGATTTTTAATAGAATGTGTTTTTGAGGAAAAATCCGTCTAAAGATAGTTTTCTGTTTAAGATACATTATAGTCCAAAGGTTATTCATCATTAAATGGATTAGTTTTTAATTATGTAGCATAAGGCTGTATATTCATACGATGTTTACATTTTTTTTGTAAATAAATTCCATTAATCCATTCACAATGTCATGCTCTCCCCAGAGGTTTCTGCAAGATTACTTTGGACAGTTTTTTTTATCTAGATGATATTATCACAGATGCTTGGTTTTGCAGTTTTCAAAACTGTGAATTTGTGTCTGCAGAGGTACCATGCCTCTTCTTCACAGCAAAAATGTTATAAAATAAACATACAGAATTAAGAGACCTCAGTGCTATTGGTACTCTGCAAATCTATGCACACAGAATCAACCCCTTATCTCTTAAATACAAAATTTCAAGAAGTTCAATGAAAATAAGATTGTTTGGGTGGAATAGGTCTGGATAAGGAGGAGATGTTAAGAGGGAGGGGCACGCAGTACACAGAAAGTGAAACTTTTTGAGCTGAATACTCCAGAAATCATGAGGTCTTTGTGAGTGTATCCTCATGGATGTTTAAGCAAACACAAGAATACATATGCGCAATAATGTTGTTTTAGTTTAATAAAACAATTTAAATGGTTACTGTTATTATTTTTCTCCTTCCAATATGAATGATTAACCTATTAAACTGGAGATAGTTCACCTTGCAATGATTTCACAACCGATCATTAACTTTCTGATATAACTAAAACTAACCCGAAAAGTTGTTATCCTAAAATGAAACCTTCATCTGGGTTGTAAATATTAAGGCCCGCAAGAATGAGCCCTTATTAATTATTTACTTATTTACCTTCAATTTGTATCTCGCCTTGCCGGTGCAAACTGGCTCAAGGCAGCTTACACAATCAGGTCCGCTGGAGAGAGGCCATATCCCAGTTTGCAGTGGTTGTCAGTGGCGGCTCCTAATTGAAGGCCTGGTGGAAGAGTTCTGTTTTACAGGCCCTGCGGAACTGTAAAAGGTCCCACAGGGCCCTGATGTCCTCCGGGAGGTCATTCCACCAGTGTGGAGCTGCCACTGAAAAAGCCCTGGCCCTCGTAATGGCCAATCTGGCATCTTTCGGGCCAGGGAGAGTCAGGCGATTTTGTGACCATAACCTCAGTGCTCTCTGTGCTTTATGATCCTATATCTAGAAAACCATGATTGAAATTGAGTCTTATCAATTTGATTTAAATCAAATCCACCCTGGTTCTTTGTAAAGCATCAGCTGGTGACTAGGGGTTGGAGAGGCTGACTAGTAGCTAGATGCCAATTTTTATACCTGTCTTGAAATTCTATACTGTAATTCACGGTAAAAGTACAGAATTTCAAGACAGGTATAAAAATTGTAGGCCCTGAAGAATATGGCAAGGTTGTATCCAAAGCCTTGGTTGTTCAGGGGCTACTTGGATGTGAAGGTGTTTGATCACCTTGGTCTGGTTGCTCTTAACTGGCTGACAGAAATCTAATTTTGTTTCTTCATTTCAGAAGCTCATTAGCTTGATTTCTTTGTCCTGTTATTAGGAAAGATTTAAATCTCTTTTGGAAATAAGCTCCATCAGCATAGCTGCATTTTGTTCCCTGGTTTGCCCCAGGTGTGCCAAAATGAGTTTGAGCATGTATGAATTTTGTTTATGAATTGAGTGCTTCTTCCAAATTGAGTTTGCTTGTCTTGTCTTTTACTAAAACAGGCAAAAGGTCGTGTGGATGCAGACAATGAGCTTTCCTTGTTGACTACAATCACAGAGATTCTGGATAGTACAGATGATGAGTCTCTGTCTCCTTTTGACACTATTCCAGACTCTGAATTACTGACATCACTCAAGGAGCCTGATAATTCTTCGGTATGATGTGTCTTCTGGCATTAAATCAGAGCAGAAGGTTTTCTTGTGTGGGTTCCCTGCTATAACATTGTGGTTCCCTGCTAAAACATATACTCTGCATGCAGGAGGTTCTACGTTAAGTTCCTGAAGTTAAAGGATCTCAGGTGCTGGGGAGGACCTTTCTCTCCCTGAGTCCCTGGGGAGTCTGTGCTAGTTAGAGCACAGAACACTGAGCTAGATGGCCCAATCACCTGTCTTACAAAAATATGTCACCTTATAGTGTGTTCCCTATCTTTTCTAGCACAGGGAATTGAATGCTGGGTCACCCCAAAAGCCAAGCCTGTTTTATAACCTGCTCCTGGTGAGGTTAATCAAAAGATGGTAGACAGATGCTACCTGTAATTCCTGGATTTCATTATACCACAACTAGGGATATCCCACCTGTATTTGGGTACTAGGGTTGCCATCCCCCTGGTGGGGCCAGGGGATCCTCGATTTTGGGGCCCCCAATCTGCCACCGGCCAGCTGGTCAGTGGGGGAAGCCCCATCCCCAAATAGCAGCGTCCCACGGGGACACCACTGACAAAATGATGTCATCGGTAGTAATATCATCACCCTGGGGTCATCGCGTGGCAACACTCTAGCATTTGGGGGAGGGTAACTCTATAGTTACCATAGAGTTTTTGCCCTGAATGCTAGAGCATCATCATGTGACGGCCTAGCGTGATGATGTCACTACCGGTGACGACACCACACATGTTTCACATCCGCAGCAGAGAAATCCTGACGAGGAGTCGGGAACCCCCCGCCACAGGTAAGAAGAGACCTGGCAATCCTATTGGGTACATTGGTGTGTGCTTTTCCCATGGAGAGCAGATTTGGGTACAAGTGCCTCCAGAAACCTCTTGGCTCTGTATATACAGTGTTCGGCATTTTTGAATTCATCTAATTTTGTTGTCTTGCTAGTCAATGTATGAGTAACAGCCTCCTGTTTTTAGCTAGTAGTTTTCCATCTGTATGAATGAGATCATTCCAAGACAAGGCTCAGCAGCATTATTGTCACCAGGTCTGGAAATAACAGAGGCTCCTCGGCTCACCTATGATCTCATCATTCCATCAGCATTTGATGAAGAACCTCTTGATGGATGCATTATTTTTTCGTTATGTTTTTGGCAAGAGTGATGCCATTTTCTCCGGCTAGAACAAAGCTGCTGGGTTTTTTTGGGGGGGTGTGTGTCTAGGAGGATGTCTGAGCATTCAGCAAATTCTGGCAAGGGTCGTGTAACATTGGCTTTGATGTGTAACATGTCAAGCACTGTGACACCAGAGCACCCTCTTGTGGTGCCAAGAATATTTGTTGTGAAATATTTTTATACTGTTTTTCTCACAGTCAGTGGAACTCAGAAATGGCTTACAGCAAATTAAAAACAAATTCAGTCACAAGGCACCGTAATACAAGTAAAAGGAAGCAGACCACAGCCTCCTTCACCCATGAGCCATCAATAGCCTGTCAGGAAGGCTTTGCTTCCCAGAGCCCCTGAAACCTGTGCAGGGCTGGAGCCTTCCTCACATCCTTGAGTAGCTCGTCCCATAGCACAGGGGCAGCCTCTGAGAAAGCCTGAGCCTGTGTAGAGACAGGTGTCATTACCTGAGTGGAGATGATCAGAGCTGCCCTGTCAGCACATACTGGCCCTGCAGTTACAAGGGTCCCAGGTGATGAAGGGCTACATTTTCTAAATAAATAAATTTGGAGGTGGGGGAGGGTGACCCAATCTGTGTATCCTACGTAAGCAAGCATAGGTTTTCTGGTGTTTCAAAGGGTGATCTTGCCCAGTTGTGGTTTTTAAAATTGTAGTGTACAGATTAAGTTATACAGAATATCTACAAGTTATTATAGAGAAATTCACTCCCTGTTTATGAACTGTTGTCTTGACAGATTCCAAGGTGTCTCAGCTTGTCCAGGACACCTCCAAAACAGGACTTTCGCTCCTTAGAAGACTTCCAAGAGCCTAGAATTTGCAACATTATGACTGAGAAGGTAAGAGACGTTGGGGCCTTGCATGTGGAAAGAGCATGGGAATTTCCAAGAGTGGCCTGTTCTTTCTGGTGTATGTTTCCCTGCAGTTATCCTGTCCTGCTTCTCTGGCTACAGGTCAGATATTAAGGTGTACAGGGAGCTGGATTGTGGTACGGCAAGAAAAGGGCTACTAAGTTCAGGCTGTTCTCCTGCAGTGCTACACAAATGGGAGAAGCTTTACTTGGTGATCTTCTTCCCGCCACCTAGCTATTTAAAAGCACAGGTGCATCCTTGGGGTTAGGCTCTGGCAATGCTAAACAACCCATAGAGTCCCAGCAAAGGTCATTCTCTGTGCTTCAGCCTTTGTAGGTCACTTGGTTGCATCTTGTAAGCCGCCCTGAGCCCGCTTGCGAGGAGGGCGGGGTAAAAATGTCTAAATAAAATAAATAAATAAAAAATAAAATAAAAAAAATCTGGAGCTGTGTTTCAAATGTCCTTTGCTAAGGTAGCAGAAGAAGTCAGAAATAAGGGGGGGATTTTTTTCTGTCTAGTGCTGTTCACTTTTATTACAGACATTCTGCCTTTCCTCTGCTGCATAGCGTTTCATTTAATGGAAACAAAATCTACTTCAGTGAGTCTGAAATATCATGATTGGCTTCTAGTTAGCTTGCATGAGAACATGACCTCTGATACTGCTATCCCACGATGTCAGAATAATGCAGTGAACTCAAAATGTAATTCAGGCAATCTAAAAGTGTTGTGGCTCACAAATTATGAAGAATTGTCATTGTTAATCTCCTATTTTGAGGGCTAATTTTACAGGCTGGGATTTTTTCCTTTTTAAAAAAAGTTTCCTGTTGGTGTGTATAAATGTAACTTCGTATCTGTCATGTGTTCTGGAAAACACTTGGAAGCTGCTCCAATGGCCAATTGTTTTCCTGAGGAAAAGAATGTCATGCACATATCCGGGGCTATTTTTGGGCAGGAACGCACAGGAACGGAGTCCCGGCTGGCTCCCAAGTTGGCCACACCCAGCAGGAACTCATTAGCATAATAGGCCACACCCAACAACAGAAACTCATTAGAATTAGCTACATTAGGGGTGGGTGGCCTAACATGCAAAGGAGTTCCTGCTACAAAAAAAGCCCTGGGTTTTGACCACAAACAAGGTAAACAGAATAAGAAGCAAAAGGTGGGTGTGGCTGGATGATCACACTTCTGGTAACATGGGAATGCGGCTTAATATGCTAATGAGTGATGCAGTCAGGGGCGTGGTCTATTATGCTAATGAGTTCCTGCTGGACTTTTTCTACAAAAAAAGCCCTGCACATATCTAAATTTAAAAGTGCCTGATTGGTTAGGAATGACTCCAGAATTGGCCTTTAAAATACATAGTGTTAAAGATGTCTTGCTAGTGTGAAAAATGGAAACTCGCTGTTTCCCTGCTGGGGTTTTTGTTTTTGTTTTTTTTAAACCCAGCGTTCTCAAAGCTTCTGTGTCAGTTGTTGGGCATTGCTGTAGGGCAGGAGCTTTTTCTTGCAGTACAGCCATTATGAGCAGGGAAGGACCCTGTAAAGGTTCTCAACTTGAGAACAACAGGGATAGTTAGAAGTGTGACTAATCTCCACATGTGCTGTGTGCACACAGACAGAATTAGACCTGTCAGGCTTCCTTTGTTTCTCTGTTTAGAATCAGTAATATATTGGTTAGAGTGTTTGATTAGGACTTAGCTATGAAGCTTCAGTGGTGACCTTTGAGCTAGTCATACTGTCTGTCCTCTTAGCCTACCTCACAGGGATTTTTATGAGGGTGAAAAAAATAGAGGAGAATCATGTATGCTGGAAGAGGGGTGTGATAGGCTTGTGGTAAATTTAACCAAGCCGTGTCTGTGGCCTTTTTTTGGCCATTTGACCTGTCTCTGAAAATTATTACAGTGTAAGCATCAAACCTTCCTTTAAACAACAGTTCGTGGTAGATAAAAGGGAACTTCTGTAGCTGGGTAGCAAAGATTTTGCTCTGCTCATTAACAAAGACTTGCCAGGAAGGGGTTCTAGGCTCCAGAACAGCCTGATCAGATGACCATCGCTTTTACCAAAGACTGAGAGTCACGTCCCTTCTCTTGTTTATTCTGTTGCCTTCCATGTGCCGTTTGCTGTGTCCACACCATTTTGTGTGGACCACCACACCTTTATAATACTGTGTTTGGTGTAGCATGACCTTCCTGCAGCTATGTCATAGCCATGCCCTCCTCTCAAAAGACCCCGGTCACCTCAACAGCAGTAGAGTTTATTGCATAACCTTCTCTCTCTCTCCCCCACCCCCAGGTTGAAGCCTGTGCTACGGGCCTCCCCTTGGCACTGACTCCAAATTGTCCCAAAGACAGAGCTGCTTCAAACAAAGCCAGTAGCAAAGGGTCCTGTGGGGAATGGAGGGTGTTCAGGCACAGAGAGCGAGATGCTCCTATACTGCAACGTAGTGATGGGGAAGAAGAGGAGGAGGAAGATGTGATAACTGATTGTGGGCTGAGTTTTGTAGCAGATGTGAATGAAATCCCTGCGGCATCAGCAACAAAGGAGGTGAAGACAGATCTCCCCCCAAGTGATGATGGCCCCTACATCATTGCCCCGGGGAGAATCTCCCTCAGTGAACTAGTGAGGTACATGCATCCGTACTGCCAGCCTGACTTCACTGTGTGCGTGAGTCCTAAGAGCCAGCCCCTGGCTGAGGCGCTGCCTGCCTGTCCGGTTCCCTTAGAAGTGGTGCCTGATGGTGGTGAGGGCATGGAGATCCCAGCGGTCCTTCAGAGTGTGGATGCAGAGCTCTCCTGCAGAACCGACAGCAGCAGCACATCTAGTCAGGCAGAAGAGGCAGACCTCTTGGTCCCTTCCCTGGACAAAGTATTATCTACAGACGACAAGAAGACGGCAGACGTGGAAAGAGACCTTGCTTTGGGCAGCCAGGCCAATGGAGTAGGCACGGCAGTCCTCCAAAGAAAGGAAGATGCTCATCTGGGGCCAGAGGAAGAAACTGTGGGATCAACGAATGATCACGAGAGCAGATCTCAGCACGGCCCAGGAGCACCACCAAGAGACATAAAGCTCAGTGCCTCAGAGACAGACAAGAGAAGTGGCAATACCAGGAAGAAATACAGCAAAGAGAAAAGGAGGTGCAAGGAGGCCAGGAATGGCAGGCCTCCAAAGCGGGCCGGCGCTAAGCCAAGCAGTGATGAGAAGCAGATGGAGAAATCTGGGAGGAGAGGTGAGCCTGGGCCTTCCCCAGCTCAATCATCCCATGCAGAAGAGAGGCAGGGCCCTGTAGAGGAGGAGGAATTGGTCGAGCATGGGGCAGAGCGGGAGCCCCAAAACCCACTGATGCCAGGCTCGGAGAGTGCAGAGGCCTTGCCACGCACAGAGGAACGCCCATCCACTCAGTACCAGGGGGACGCAGATGCATGGCCTGCAGACCAGAAGGGGTTGCAGGAACCCAAACTTGGGAGCAAGCCCCTTTCGACCACAAATGAGGTGGCTGGCCGAGATGCCTCCCCTTTGCTCCCTGGCAGCATTGTGGGCACCGCAGGGCAGCCTCCCACCAATGATCTCAGCAGCAAGGAAGCCAGCTGCCCCCTCAAGGAGGCAAAGCCCAGGCCTCTCAGCTTGAGTGAATACCGGCAGCGCAGAAAGCAGTGCCAGCCCAGTGGCGAGGGCACGAGTGGCACCGCAGAGAAGCAGAGGTCCAGCAAGTGGCCCAGTCTGCCCGAGCCCCCCATGGAACTGGCTGACCTTCCTTGCCTGTTGGTGCCTCCACCCCCTCCCAAACCTCCGGTGCCTGGGCCGGGAAAGGAGCCTGAGAAGCCTGCCGGCACTACCGCTACCCCTGCTCCTGCTAGCAAAGGGACTGCCATTCGCCCCTCTGTGCAAACCACAGCTGCACCAGTTCTTACTCCTTGTTCCAAGAATGGCACCGTGAGCACGACTTCTCTTCCGGCACCTGCTCCAGTTGTCCCTTCACAACCTAGTAAAGCAGGTGCCTTTCCCCCTGTTGGGGCTCAGGTGCCGCCGATCCCGCCCCCAGCATACCTCCCATCAGCCCCTGGAGCTTTCCTACCAGCCCCTCCCAACTCCTGCATCTTTGGTGCACCACCACCAGTGCCTCCCTGGGCTCTTTTCCCTCCTCCGCTGGCTGGTTACAAAAGTCTGCCACCTTCATCTTCAGTCACTGAAGTTTCCCCCGCTGCCTTCCACTCAGTTCCTTCGGTGCCCCCTCCCACATGGCCTCCCCCACCTGTCCCCTTGCCCTCTTTTGGCCCAGGGCTTCCTTACAGCTCCATTGAGTGGCCGGCAGGTCCACCGCCACCTTACTGGCCTGGTATCCCAGTCCCGCCTCCGATGTTGCCCGTCCCTTATGGGGATCGAGGAGTCCACATGCAGAACCCCCAGGTTGGTGCCTTCCGGACCCCACCCTTCTCTGAAGGGACCCCTGGCTGGCAGAGCACAGCTCCCCCACTGGACTCCTCTCACTTCAGAATGCAAAACTTGGCAGCCACCGAGAAGGCAGGCACCCCTGCCCAGCTACCCTGGGTTGAACCCCCTTCTACAGCTAAAATTGCCTCCAGAAGGATTTCTGACCCGAGATGGCAAGTGCAGCCTTCTGGAGCTGAGTCTAAAGCAGAGGTGACTCCTGGAAAATCTCAGCTTTTGGGGAAGCTGCTTCCCCCTACGCCAGTGGCTGAGCCTTTGGGGAAACCAGCACTGACTCAGCCTGTCAGGAAGAGCTCCCTTCCGCAATCCTCAGGGGAGCCCCATTCCATGCTTCCTCCCCAGCGAGTCAAGGACTCCGTTGCCATACTGAAATCTTCAGAAGAGCCCTCCTCTGCTGAGCCTGTGGAGAAGGCCTATACTGTACCAGCCGCAGTCCAAAGTGCCAAAGAGACCCCTCCTGCCGGCCAGTCTCAAGAGGAACTTCCTCTTCCAGCTACTTTGGCACCAGAAAAGTTAACAGTGCCAGCTGCAGTGGAGTCGGATGCTAAGGAAGCTGCCTCTGTAGATCCCAGCTCCCCAGTAACAGCGTGGCCCCAGAAGGTGCAGGAAACTGGCCCACTTTCCAAGACACCCGCCCATATGTTGAAGCAAGAGCCTCTCGTCAGTGTTGTAGAGTGCAGCCGCAATAAGGACATCGTTCAGGAGTTTATCACTGAGATTGGTGAGTGTTTATGCTGCTGCTGGTTAACTGGCTTGTGTGGCACCCATGACCCAAGGAAGCTGCCACAGAGAAGTGGGAATTAACCTTGGTGATGTAATGCTGGCATTTATTCCATCCCCATGTTCACACTCTTGTGTTGGATGTATCTCTGCCAGTACCTTTTTGCTGGCGTGTATGGCAGACAGCCCTTGCTCTTGCAGTGATCTCATTTTCTATCCAGTCTTGTATTTATATTCTTGTCAAGCAGCTGCTTGTGTAAACATAAAGCACATGCATTTTCTCCTTAATGATACATGCATTGAGGAGAGCCTTAGCTTTTTCTTCAGTCCCGTCCCAGTTGCCAGCAGGATTAGGCTAGAGGAAGAGGGCCAGAGGGTAACTAATTGTAGTCCCTGGTCATTGTGACCATCTCCTAGTCTGGTGTAGTTTAAGGATTGCTGTTCTAAGTACCAACAATTGTGCATAATTAGAAGTACAGCTTTTTGCAAATGACCAAAAGCCATTACAGATTGTGCATAATTGAGCCATTATTATTTTTTTCTCCCACAGGAATTGAGGCCTCTGACCTGTCCAGCCTATTAGAGCAGTTTGAAAAAATAGAAGGTGAGGAACTAAATAGAGAAAAGGGGTTGAGTACTCTGACCTCTGCCATGCCTTGACACTTCCTCCAGTTTCCTTGCCTAGAGTTCCCAAGGGGCCATTTGAGTAACTTCCGGTCTCTATACACTTTTGCATGTTTTGTATGGGTCCTTGCCACACGGCAGGAAAAACAATGGCCTAAGTGCTGCTAATCTGAGCCGCACCAAAATAGAGACGCCATTGCTCCCCGGCACAATCAGATGCCGGAGAGGAAGCGACGATCGGGAGGGGGAGGCTGCCGAACTGCACATGTGTGAGCATGCGCAGTTCGGCCAGGAGCCGGGGATGCGCCGGCGGAAGGACGCGCCGGCGATCCCACGGCCGGCCTTGATGCGGCCTTTCCGGATGAACCACCCAGGTAGGTGGTTTATTTTTGGTGCGGGGTTTTGGGCAGAAGGGCCGGATCGGGGACGGGCCTGCACCGCTTCCCAGATGGTGCGGTGAGATCGCACCCGTTTGCTGAGCCCCCGATCCGTCCCTCTCCTGGCCCAAAACCTCTCGTGTGACCGGGGCCCTAATGTAGAAAAGGCAGCAGCCTTGCTTTCAGTTTCCACGTAGTCCCCGCCCCCCAATTCCAGCATTTCTTCGAAAAGTGAGTGAGATAAACAAGCCCCTCTAAAGATATAGTCAGTTAACAAAGGTGAGCTCCCTGGCTTGGGTTCATCAAAAACATTCCTGGTTTTTGCACAGAAAGGGCAGGCTTTGTATTAGGGAGCAAATTTTGTAGATGATGCTTACTACCATACCTTTGGTCAGCATGCATATTAATATCACTGCCTACTGAAGTTTCACAGCATTAGGAGTACTTTAGCTGCATCATGAAGTCAGTGGCTCAGTGGGTAGAACATCTGTTTTGCATGCAGGAGGGGTCCCAGGTGCAGTCCCTTAAAAGTATCAGGCAGTAGGTGATATGGAAGACCTCAGCCTGAGAGAGCTGCTGCCAGTCAGTACTATCCTTCATGGACCAGTTCGTGTGATTCAGTACAATGCAGCTTTGTGTCTTCATTCATGTTATGTATTCATCCGTTTTCAGCAGTCTGCTGCTTTTAAAGTTTGGTCCGGGCTTGACATTTGCTCTTTGATTAATCAAAGCTTCAGTCAGCTCCTGTACCACAAGCTGGGTCATCGTATAGGCTAAATAGTGCTCTGAGGCCCAGGGAGTCCAGGCTCTGTGATTTAGGAAGTGTTTCTGGCCTTCCAGTGCTTGTTCTGCACAAGCCTACTAACAGACCTGGATTTTATCTTTCTAGCCAAAGAGGGAACTTCTGGTGTGGTGAAATCCAAGGGAGGTATTGCTGCAGGGAACAGTGGGTGAGTATAGGCCTCAGTCTTGGCCAGATCTCTCTTCCATATTTAGTTTGGTTCATGGATAGCACTGCCTTTCTAGAGGTGGGTGACCCATGGAGCACAGGAGCCTTGCTAGCCAGAGCGAGCTTATCCTGGCCTTTGCTGCCTCTTAAAAGCTGCAGTGGTGCCGTTGATAACAGAGCACCGTTCTCTTTTTCAGCTCTGAAGTACAGCAGGAAAAGAAGATACTGGATCGGCTTCAGGCTCCAGAGCTCACCAACATTGCAGGTCGAGGCTCTGGAATTAAGCTAGTGGGGGGGGGGGGGTGATTTTGCCCTAGTTAAATGGGGGGGGGCAAGCTGGAGGTGGGGAATGCTTGGCTGTCAGTTTGGTATACGGGCTCATGCAGCCAATTGTGCGCCTTTTGCTTTTGTTGAGGAGAGCGGAGAGATCTACCTTGAGTTGTTCCTACAGAGAGCTTGCACTGTTAGAGCAAGTAAGGTGTCCTCAGGAAAGGAGGTGTTCCTCAGGGATTTGGGAGTGTGCTTGCCAGCCTACCCTAGAAAAGAATGCTGTGCCTGCGCTCTTCAGCTCATGGCTGTTGCTCCATTTTCTGATGAGACTCTTTGCCTTTCTACAGGCCTGACCCCTCCAGCCACCCCACCACACCAGCTGTGGAAGCCTCTAGCAGCTGTCTCACTTCTGGGCAAAGCTGGGTCCCCCAAAGGTTCCAGGCTTGCAAAATCCCTAAGCAAGCCTCACAGAAAAGCAGCCCCTCTTCACGTGGGCTCCGGTGAGCATGACTACTGCCAGCTCAGTGCTGCCCCGCTAAAGGGCGGCTCCCGATGGAATGTCAAACGGAACACCGATATCACTATCAAGCCCATCAAACCCTTGACGAAAAAAGAGCCGGATCAGCCTGCTGCAAATCAGCCCCTTCCTCCTGCTGCCGCCGCCACCGCTGCTGCCACCAGAAGGAACCCTGTGGGCACCGACAGCCTGGTTGCTGCCTGCCAGAATCCCAAAGAGGCCCTTGGCCCTGTTAATGCTTGTCAGAACCAGGCCCAAATCTTTAGCCGTGCCGCAGCTAGCTCAAGCCCTGGCAGGTCAGTGTCTCTGCTGTTAGAGAGCACGCTTCCAGGGCCGCATACAGAGCCACTGGACCACCGGACTAGTACACCGAGGTCCATGACGAGGGTCAGCGAAGATCCATGTTCTGTACTGCTGTCCCCAGCTGCATCCCCGTGCCGGGATACAGAAGAGCCAGTGTCGCAACAACCTCAGGACGTTCAGCAGAAGCACTTGGCTTCCAAACGCTCCCTGCGATGCTACCGGAGCAGACAGAAGTCAGCCAGCCCCCAAAAGAGGAGCTGGAGAGGCCGCCGAAACCGTGCCAGCCGGTCCTTCAGCTCCAGTTCTGATGGTGACAGTGATGACTCCTCCTCCTCCTCTTCCTCCTCCTCCTCCTCCTCCTCATCAAGGTCTCTGTCTCCCCCATCAAAACGCTGGCGAAGGTGTGTGACTGGAGACACTCTTCCCACTGATGGGTTGGGGAGGGCTTTGGGCTTTTGGATGAGGTGTTCTCATGGGTGGAAGTTGGCGGGTGGGAGTAGGGTGGCTGGTACAGTTTACATTGGCTAGCCCTGTGTTGTGGTCTCCATTCTCAGTTTTGCACCCTTGGCAGACCTACTGGTCTTTTGGGGATGGTTGGTCCCCTTTGCCAAAGCAAGCAGGTTCCTGGGGTTTCCCACGAAGTCGACCTGGTTGTGCTGGTCTGCCTCCTTCTAGAGCAGCTACTAGGCTGGATTTTTTTCATTCTGCTTCCTGTGTCTTCAGGGGTAGTTTGTACTATTCTGTTGGTTGTACATCTACCCCATTCATCCCTTGGGGTGTTTCTGAATGTTAGCATAGGGCTGTTCCTGCTCTGTATGCTTGAGGGTATAAGTAGACTCAGGTTTTAAATATCAGGTTTGACAAGGCTTTTCAGCGTGTACTGTGTTAGGCCTTTGCTTTTGTTTCTGTGCAAAGCTGGTAATTTGTTGAACCATAGTCCTTCACACCACCTGAAAGCAACAGGTTATTTCTTGTGGGGAGTATGTCTGCAAGTCTGTTCAGCACTTGTCATGGTGAATGTTTGAATTAGAAGCTTTTGGTTAAATCTCAGTCTTTGGTCACTGCAGGCAGGCAGCCCAAAGATTTTGGCTATCTCTCAGGCTTTGGGGGCACCTTTGTTCTTCAGAAGTGATGGTGTCCTTTGGTCCAACCATGCATAGTTGTTGCAGGAGTCAGAGTCTACTTGGAAGTCACCTTTGTGTATCTGCACACACGTCTATGGATATGTACACTCTCACACACAAATGCCCATATCCTTAGACAATGATGCTTTTTGTCGCCCCCACCCCCCACCCCGTAGAAGCCGCTCAAGAAGCTCCTGCTCCTCTTCTAGTGCATGGAGCCGGTCAAGGAGCCGGTCCCGGAGTTCCTCCTGTTTATCAAGGTCATCTTTGCGCTCTCTATCTCCGCCCAGGAGGAGGACCTACAGGAAAAGGTGAGGCAGTTTAGCAGTGCTCTGTCCCTCATTGCATGGCACTTGTGCCAACATATCCTCACATCTAGGACTGCTTTCAAAATCCTGGTGGAACATTCATGCCACTACAGTATTCCATGCCCTGATAGCTATTTAAACTATTGTAAGTGACTCTGCTTCTAGTGTTCTATGGGTGCAACTTGGCGAAAGGGAGAAGGAATCTGTTTGGCCCGATGCTGACAGTCACCTAACCTTCCTTTTTAGATGCCAACAAAGCAAACATTTCATAACTGTTGTTTTGTAATGGAGTTCAAAATAACTACATGTATAATTGTACGTGCTCTATTTGCATCCTGCCCATCCTCTGAGAATCTCAGAACGGTGTATTCAGCCTCACAACCGTGTTTGAAATAGGAGGGGTTGAGAAGCGACACCTTTCCCCTGTCACTTGCTGAGCTTCCTAGCTGAGTTTGAACCCTGGGTTCTTTTGCCAGGCTCAATGTTGTGGCCTCACCACAGCTGCTGCCTGATGATCACTTCCCTGTTTTGTGAAGGCAAAACAAGCACAGAGCAGCTGTTTGTTTCTGTGTTTCTGCTGCCAGTCCAAGGCTGTGAGTTCATTGCAGTGACGCCTGCACTTTCCTTTCTCTGTGAATCCTCACTTCTTCATCCTACCCACCCCAGTTCCCAGAAGTGTGCATTGTTTTGAAAGCTGCTTGTAGTATCCCTGGCAGAGGGCTAGATGGGCTCCCTTCTCTTTTGGTACCATTTCCTCCCCCCCATCCCCCCCC